AAAAACAGGTTACGTGTTTTTATTTTGTTGTGAGATTATATGGTTTTGGAATATAACATTATTTTTAAGCCTTTTTAAACATATCTAGCAGATCCTTTGCAAAACTTATTAAAGGTACTGATTTTACAATATATAAACTATTTATTTAGGTTTAAGTTTCTAAACGGGGTATTAGTTTTTTGCATGAATAAAAATTTAAAAATGAATAACAAAAACCTGCCAACCTTTTTATACTTGGCAATGTTGTGTTTTCTTCTTTTTCAGAAGGCCAAGCCACTGGAATGGCATTTACGTCATTGGCACACAACCAGGCTGAGGTAGCTTCAGTAGCATAGAGCTGGATGGAAAAATAAACACATTTACTTTATTTAAAACTCTAAATTAATAAGTGCTCAATCAGTTACGTAAATTTGACTTTCATGATATGTCTCATCCAATGTCTTATGCTTTGAAGTAACAAACTTCCAGCCCTCACCTTGAAGCCTTCTTCTTTCAGCTGATGTGCCGTAGCAAGGAAATTTGGTCGGAAAGATTGCTGGAAGGGGACAACATTTAAAGAAAAAAGGAAAATAAATAAAAAATAATCAACTAAAAAAATATAGTTAATTGAATCCATAGTTCACATTTGATATATGGAACAATAGTACAAAATCAAATAAGCTCCGAGATAATGAGTATCAGATGTTTGTTGCCCTTGACTAAAGTTCTCTTTAACTTTAAATAAATCTTTAACATTTAGCGAATTACACATTCACACTGTATAAATAATACATGTTGAGATGTAGTAAGTAATTTTCTAGTAAAAACCTTGGTCTTTTTTTTTTTTTTCACACAAATTCTTGGTGTAACAGAACATGTGGCTAGCTATTTATTTGAACTGGATTGTTTAGTTCAGTTTTTGTAATTAAATGTCCAAATCACAATAAAGGTTTTTCATGAAGCACTTTTTTTCAATATGGAATTATATTTATGCAAAAAAAGATAAATTTATTAAAAGGCTTATTTACAGGAGTGCCAGTCATTTAGCTCTGCTGTACATGTTCCTCTTGGAAAGAGTGTTTTTGATTTATTAAACACATCCATTCTCGACTAATGATAGTTTAACTAGTTTAACAGTTTCTGGTTGCTAACAACCAGATCACTGAACTTCACTGAACTTCTAAACAGTGGTTATTTAACACCTATCAAACTTATTATTGATTTTTTTTTCAATATTCTGAAAAAAATTAATAAATACACTCAATTTACCTCCATCAAATTTTAATGTTATTACAGAAGAAATGTCCAAAATGCCTGGGAGTTGTTCAATATTATCAAATGAAATACCTATATCCAGTGTGATACTTTTTTTTGCCTTCAAATGATTCCAAGCCAGCAAAGGAATTTTGTTGTGTTTTATATGAGGATGCAAACAAGTTTTAGTTTCATGATATTCTTTATCAGTGCATGACAGAATACATGCATATCTGTACATTATCTGTAAATGACATGCTATTTTAATTTTTGCCACTTTTCTAAAGTCTTTTTTTTATGTAAGGTAACAGCAGGTCCTCTGCAGTGTCTGATATATCAGCCTAACATATTAGAGCTTGAAAACCACAGAATTATCTTTTTATGTATCAAAAATATGTTTAATTCAAATCATGTTAGTTATCTTTAGTGTTTTAAGTTTTAGACAGTATCTCTCAGTAGAATTTATTCCAAATTTGGAGCCAGTCATACATTTAAGTTATATTAATATTTTATGAAGAAGCTGAGAAATGGCAAGATGACATTATAAAGAGGCTGATATTCCTGAAAGATTTGGACTGCCTCTTTATTCTACACCTTGGTTTTGATATCTTGTGCCCAGCAAAAACAAAAAGAAAAAAAGGAGCAAGTTGAATGTTGACCTGTAGGTGGCTGAATTGTTACCTGAATCCCAATCAAGATACCCTTCTGTGGAAGCTTAAAGCCTGTGGAGAGGATGGCCTTCAGGAAAGCTGAATAAATGTTTGGTCCAAAACAAGCTACCTAGATAAAGACAGTAATGAAAACATTTCCAAACTGTTAGAAGTATTGAATCCTGAAATGTGTCCTTGTAATAAGACATGAAAGAGTTTTACCAAAAGCTGAAAAAAAAAACAACGAACAAAAACAGTGGAATGAGACTGTATAACAGCAGCAAGCTTACTTCTCCAGTGGAAGCCATCTCACAGCGGAGAACAGGGTCTGCATCCCTTAGTCGTGGCCAAGAAAACATTGGTGCCTAGAAAAAGCAGAAACGTTCAATTTGAGGGAATAGGATGTTCCATTATATGAGTCAGTTGATTGCTGCTTTTGAAATACAGTGTATCATTTTAAATTGGTTGTTCAGATATATATATGAAGCAGTCTACAAGAATACAAAAGGCAGTACAAGTTCACTTTTTTTTATTCAAACTTCCTCTAAAAAACAATTTCGGAAGACAGACAAAGAAAAAAGATATCCTTTTTAAATCTTTAACTTCTATAAAATCATCAATTCATTCTAGATCTGTCTTGCTGTGTCAACTTGTAGAATGTAATGTGTGTGTGGTTGTATGAATGTCACTTTAAAAGGCTGCTTCCTTTCAAGGAGCTTCTGTTGAATTTTGAAAATAAGTGAAAGTTGTCAATCATGGCCACGGGGTAAAATGAAGAGAGCTTTTATTTATTTTATGATATCAACGTTAAAAGGCTAATGTTAAACTGACAACAGAGCCAATTTTTTTCCAATTAAAGAGTATTCCTCTATACTCAGAAGTATTGTATTTGAATTTTTGGTACAGTTGCTTGGTGGAGCAGTGGATAGTGCTGTTGACTCTCAGCAAGAAGGTTCACTGTTCAATTTCCTGCCCAAGGTCTTTCTATATGGACTTTGCATGTTCTCAACATGAATGTGTGGGTTCTCTCAAGGTTCTCCAGCTTCCTCCCACAGTCCAAAAACATGACTTTTAGATCAATTGGCTTTACTAAATTATACTTAGGTGTGGGGCTGTGTGTGCAAGGTTGTGTGTCTCTCTGTTGCTCTATGACAGAAGGGCAGATGGCAAACTGTTCAAGGTGTACCCCGCCTTTTGCCCAAAGACTGCCCGAGACCCTACCAAAATAAGCAGGAGAAGATGGATAGTTGGATGGTTTGGGAAGATGGAAGGCCCCAACACTGTTGGAAAAGCTTAGATTCAAAGACAACAGTGCAGTAAAAAATCATGCTTGGTGGGTTATCTACACTAATTAGAACAAGAAGCAGAGTAACTGAGCCATATCAAAAAAGTGACAACATCACAGTTAAAACAACCTTTAACAGTAACCTAGTTAATTGTATGTACTCTCCCTGCCGGACATCATAGACCATGTTTATCCCTTTTAAACTGTTAATCTTAAACAGTTTCAGTCTCTTAATCCTGATAGTTTTGAAAATTTCAGAACTATATCCAAATTGCCTTTTATCTCAAAAAGTCTTTAAAAGTGGTTTACGAGCAATTAATGGCAGTTGTTGAGGAACATGTATTAAGAGTTTTTTTTAATCAGGTTTTGAAGCATTAAAAAGCAATAAACCTTCCATTTTAAGAGTCTTTAATGACGTGCATTTAGCAACTTACTCAGGGTACTGTGTTATCTTTTTGCTTCTAGATTAAACTTCTGCCTTCGACAAAGATGACCAATACATTTTAATTTCTCGTTTGGAGGGGTGTGTGGGTGTCAGGGTGTTTGCATTACAGTGGTTCAGGTCTTATTTAGCAGAGTATCCTTTCCTTCAGTGTTTGGTCCTGCTTATTCTTAGGGCATTTTTTGGGAAACATGGAGTTTCCTTCCACTGGTAAACAGATAACTCCCAAGTCTATCTTGCTCTTAAGAAAGCTAAGGGCTTCTTATTAAATGTGCAGGTCACATGTATTGATGATATAAAGGCCTACAGTAGATGACTTAAAACTTTTTACATTTGAATGAGCAAAAGAGATGGAAAACCACATGGTTTTTGCTGGCACATCCCATGTCTCCGACATAAACCTTGATTCTCTGGTACAATATGATAGGCTAGTTATCACAAATTCAAGATGAAAGTGATCTTAAAACCTTGAAAGCCAGATTAGGGTACTTGTTAAATCCAACTTTTTTTTCATTTGAGGCAGGTAGCTAAAGTAAAGCCATTTAATAACAAGACAGCTCTTTGAAACAGCAGTTTATGTATTTGTTGCATCTAGAGTGAATTACTGTAACCCTTTATGTCTTAGAGTTAGTGATGCATACACCTGCAGGCATCTGCAAAACCTGCAGATGCCTGCAGGTTTTGCAAAATGATGAAGCATGACTTTTAACTAGAATAAAAAGGTTTGACCACATTAACTCTATTTTCAATTGTACCTCATTGTTTCCTATGTTTTAAGATCCTTTATAAAAATGATCTTATTTCTTTTTATTTCTTTTAATGCCCCCACCCCACCTTTCTGAGTTGCTGAACTGTCTTACAACTGCCCACTGCCAATTGGTTGGTAGACCTTGAGGAATGATCCCCTCAGGATATGCAAAACCCTTATGCAAACAGGCAGCCTTTGAAAATAGCCTTAAACTGAAAGAGAGGAAGCCTGCCTGACATCGAAGGGTGGATTATTCCACAACTGTGGAGCAGTTAGAGCAAAAGCACAATTTCATCTTAGTATCTGTTAAAGCAACACAAAAGTAGCTAAGGAGTAGGAAATGTATTTTTGAAGAAACATTTTCATTCATTTTTATCACCATCATCACATTTTCCTGAACATATTTCTTTATATTGCTACAAATCTAATCTTATTACTGCATCTATGACAATCTGGTATGATTTATCAGGTTTTTTACTTTTCTCTCACATTGAAAGTACTTCTGGATCAGAGTTCATCTTGTGTGTGCGCTCTGTCAGCTCATGCCAGCAGTTGATCATAGCAGCAGGGATTTTACATTGGACATGGTTCTGCTGGAGGTTTCTTGTACAAAGGGAGTTTTCCTCTCCACTGGCACTACATGCACTCTAGGTAGTGGGGATTACTGCAAAGTCTACCAATGACTGTCCACGGTCACTTGATGCTCATCCAGTGGGAATGAATTCTGCAAGTCATTGATTCAATAAATTAACTTTATTTAGAATGTAGCCTTCCGAAAGAAGAGTAACTAAAAACTAGTTAGTTATAACTAAATTTGACCTAGTAGAATAATTAAAAGTAATAATAATAGGCCATAAAAAACAATGTAAAAGTAGGAATAATTAAAAGAGACTGAAATTGACAGGGGACATGAAAAGAGAAGGACACAAACAATAGGAAAGGAAGAAGATACAATTGTGAAAGCAGAAGATAAGATCAGAAAAAAAGGAACAGAAAGGTTCAGAAACATGAATAAACAGTGATTTCCTCTCGCTATTGTATTAAACAAAAAAGTAAGAAAAGTCAAATGTCATTTGGGAAGCCATTCTTATTGCTCCACTTAAAAATTGCAGAACCCTTATTACCTTGTAGAGAGCAAGCGGTGGTGTGGTGTTGTGTGATTTAGGTGGCCATTTCCATACACAGACAGATACACACATACAGGCAAGAGCCACTGGGGGAGATTCATCCTTGAAGAAGGCTATCTAATCAGTAAATGTAATGTTAGCATGCTAATGCAAGAAGAAGTGAAGAAAAGTGAAGGAAATGCACAGAGGGAACCAGAACAGCTTATCATGCCTTTGTTTAAAGAGTCAGAGACAGACGGGGATGTAACCAAGAAAGAAAATGAAACAGGGGGGAAGAACATGTACATTGGGAATAACAATGAGAGAGAATTTTCTTTGAAGGCTTAAAAGCAGATGCAAGTAAAAAACCAAGTAGAAAAAAAATACATAAGCAACCATTCTAACTGGCTAATTTCACCACCCACCACAATAAATAAAGAAACCAAGCCTGCAGGGGGTTCTCTCTGTCATTAAACCTAAGAAATAACCTTCAGTGAAAATGAGGTGAAAGTGTAAATGCACAAAAAAGGCGAGGAAAGACAAAAGCCACAGCAGCAGTAGAAAAATAAACAGTCACATGCAACTTTAAGATACAACGTAAGACATAAAAGCTTTTTTACTTTTAAAAATGTCCCACAGTTACAAATATGCGCTTATGAAATTACAGGATTTTCTGGCGCAATAACCACGTTTTTTAACCAAAACATCAAATCCCACTAGCACATACTGTAAGAAGGACTTCCAAATTCCCCAATTCTTTGCTGACTGCCCTCTCCTGAGCATTACTGAGAGGCTTCAAAGCATGAACAATGTTATCATGGGACACCAGATGTTCTAATGAACAAAGCATTTTTGTTTAGTGATGGTTCACCGAGTTGGAGATGGGAGTGGTCCAGTTTAAATCTCTCAATAGATTAAATAAATTTAGTTTCATGAAATAAAAATGAATGAACATTTAATATTGTTTACAAACAGAATCTTATTGATTATTAATATAACCATATAAATGCTAAAATTATTTATTGGTAAGCATTAATTTGATGTCATTCAATTTATTAAAAGAAAATTAAAAGCCTAGCCCAAATTTACTACATCTGCTACAATTGCTAATCCTTGAAGTGGGTAATAGTGGCAGTTGGGGGGTTAACTTGTCATAGCCTCTGCATCATTATGCAAGTAATGTGGAACATCCTGGACAAGTGTAGGTTTAAAACAACCACTATTTTGTCAAAAAATATATTTTTCTCAATTAGATGTACCAATGTCTTAGAATACACTGGAGATTTTCCACTTGAAATTCACTTAAAAGAATCTGTGAAGGAAACTATGGTATAAGATGAAAAAAAGTCTTTAAACTCCCGAAGTGCAGAATTAAAATAGCAATGGAAAAATGAAAAAGCTGATCACAAAGTATAGGTTTAAATGCTTTAACTCTTGATTTTTTTCTACTTCTTTTAAGAAAGATATCCACTTTTCAACATGCTTATACCAAACTGTTGGTAAAACCGGCGACAATTGTATTATAATTTAAAGTTCTATTACATTGTTATCTTTAGCTGAATATATTTAGCAACCGTAAAGTTAAAATAATTTTAATCCAAATATGAATAAAATATCTTTGGTTCATTTTAAATAACTAATTGATTGGATGCATTGAAGTTTTAATAATGTAAATATAAATCACCAAGGGTTCCAAATATAGTAACAGTTTTTTTCTTTTGTCAAACAAAGTAAAAATATCATAGTACTACCAAAAAGTATTTTTGGTAAAATAAGTTTATATA